AAATATTCCTGATGAAATCCTAAAATGCCTTTCAGCACTTTACAACAATATTTTCAATACTGGCAAAAAACCCTCTGCACGGAAAGAGGCAATAATACCTACCAATCTTTAAACAGGGCAAAGATCCTTCTTCAGTAAATAGTTACAGGCCTATTGCACTCACAAACTGCCTACTCACAGTGTTTTAAAAAATGAATAACCGCTGCTTGGCCGATTACTTGAAATACAACGGTATATTGGAGCCGTGCCAGTCTCGCTTCCGTACAGCTAGATCCACAGCTGACAATCTTGTCCTCCTCGAGTCATATATACATGCCGACGTCGGCGGTATAGTGGTTATAGTGAGTCATATATACGTGTCGCATTTGTACACAAACCATACTGTCTTTCTGTTTTCTTTGATCTTGAGAAGGCATATGATACTGCCTGGTGATATAGAATACTGCAAGACTTATCGTCCTACGGAATATGTGGCAGGTTGATTGCCGTTTTAAGATATTACCTGTCTGAAAGGAAGTTTCGTGTAAGAATAGGCAGTATGTTATCACGCACATTTCTTCGAGAAAATGAAGTGCCGCAGGTTGGAGTATGAGGCTGCATGCTTTTTATAGTTACAATAAACTCTCTTCGCTCTGTTATTTCTCCCTATATATTGTACTCTGTCTATGTAGATGACATCCAAATTAGTTTCAAATCTTTTAACTTGACTGTATGCAAATGCCAGACATATTTAGGTGTTAACGGTCTTGCAAACTGGGCTGATAAGAGTGGTTTTAAGTTCAACACTGACAAGACCACTAGTGTGCTATTCACCAGAGGAAGAGGTGTACATCCAGACCCCTGCATACTAAATGAAAGGACAAAACTGAGTCATCGTGAAAGAACAAAAATTTTTTGGTGTAATTTTTTATTCCAAACTCACCTTCATCCACCACATAAAGCAGCTGAAGTTGAAATGTCTGAAGACCATGAACCGTTTGATGATTTTATCGCATCAGTCATGGCAGACAGACAGTCACTGTCTCATATCTCTGTTTAGAAGCCTGGTTTCGTCACGCATAGGCTATGGATGTATAGTATATCAGTCAGCTACAAAGACAGCAGTAAAAATATTGGACCCTGTAACCACTTAGGTATCCGGCTGGCACTTGGTGCGTTTTGTACCAGTACTGCCCAAAGCCTTTATGCAGAGTAAGATCAGTGGCGGCCGGACTATCAGCGCACATATCTAGGTGTCACCTATGCAGTTAAAATCATGTCTCTGAAGCAGCACCCATGCCAAGCACTTATGAATGATCTGTCCACTATGCAGTTATATGCAAACCATCCTTCTATCGCCCCACCGTTTCTATTGGCAAAAAGACCTGTAGTGAAAAACTTCGAATTTGTTTTGATGAATTACAGAAAAGTGACCACGCTGAACACATTTCTCCTTGGCAGCAGTGTCCGGTCACTTGGTCTTTCAAGGTTTGCATTAGTCAGTTTTTGTTGAAACTTTTCTCACAATACCACAGAGTACCACCATTCTACAATTGAATTTAGAGGCTTTTTTCTCAACATCAGCATTTGTTACAGCAGTGAATCATAGCGTACAACACTACATAAAAGTCGGAATGAATAGTAACAATATGTTTTTGTGCAATGTTAATTCATCTTAAAACCCTTAGGTGCCGTTCATCTACAGGCTATTTGTCTTAATAAAAACTTCTGTGTAGACGGCCTCATTACAGTGAAGTCATTGAACAGTGAAATATAGAAAAGCCTTTTTTGTGCCTAATTACACGCAAAAACACGCAAGAGCCAGCCGACACGTTAGAATTCTGTCACTTGAAGTTTTATGTGCCGAACGTAATGGGTTGCTCATAACACTTCTCAGCATATACACTGCGACGACCACAGTTACAATAATCAATTTCTGATAAATGAATCTATATTAAAACGAGCCCCACAGCTAAGTACTTAAAATTCCTGAAATAATCGAGGTGCTTTGAACTGATGGGAAGGGATCACGTTCGTCTCGAACCAAATAAGCGATAGCAGACGCCTTCACATACCCATGTAGAAAAATGCTTATTTGTTAACACCACTACAACTATCAAATACCACATGACAAGCCGCTTACGCGCCAGTGCGCACGACCATTCTAGTGCTTCCTAAAGTTCCGCGCAGAAATGAACTTGGCATGTGCCCGATTTTGCTGTCTCGACAGGCCCGCAACGATGGCGGTAGCTTTGCCATGAACACGTTTCGCAAACGGCCACAAAAGCGATAACCCCTGTGATTGCTTACCACTGTCATAAACCTGTGTGAACGAAGCCCATCGTTTGTACGCGGAACGTTAGAAATCATCAGAATCACGGCGCGCGCAGGCGCGCCAGTGTTTTGTGGTGTGGTATTTTAAAGATGATAGTCTTTCTTGGAGACCTTAAATGCCAAAATTTTGGTCTGTCTGTCTGTCTGTCTATCTGTCTGTCTGTGTCTGTCCACCCTTAATGGTGCCCTAAACGGCACCAAAGTGCCAAATGATACTGCAAACGGTCAACCCCATCCGGAGTGTCTACCAATAATGCTCAAATTCAGAGTTCATACTTGTGTGACGGCCAATCAAAAAGCAATTATTGCGCATATGTGAGGTACCATAACAACACTTCAATATTCTGTATGTGTGTCTTACCTTTTTAAAAAAGCATACATAAGTAATTATAAGGACTGTAGCGTTTATCACGTTATGCTGACCAGGCAACGCTTGCACGAAAAGGCAAGCGTTACGAACTCTTTGCTAAGATGACACGGTGGTGGCACTTACCCGTCGGCTCGCGTTTTACACCTTATCACCTCCGAGACGGGTGCGCAGGGTGCGCACACTTTGTTTTACAACATAAATGCCAGATAGCGGCCGTGTCTTATGTGTGGCGTGACTTGATGCACTCGTTCGCCTTCGCTCCACGCTCGAGGCTCTTCAACGCAGTGCCTCCAGAATACCCTTCACCGATTTTTCTTGCGCAGGACATCAAATAAACGTTTTGTTCACTCTCTCCAAATGCAAGACTATCGTCTTTCGATGACATTTGCAGTGTAACATGCAGATACGGGGTCCATTTTTTGTATTTCGCGGCATTTATAGTTAGCAGAGAAACATTAATAATTCCCAAATATAAAGTTTGAAACTGGCTAATCAGACGGTTTGCAAACCGATATACATCTTTCGGGTAAATATTTTTACCCATTTCCGGTGCTTCAGGAGTTGTTACCTAAAAGGGTCTTAATTAAAGGAATGATCAGAACTCTGAGAATATAGTCTGATTCGCTCCAGACAACGGTCGGCAACATACTTTTGTCTATGTCGTAATTGCGCGTGTCAGCATATTTTAAAACTCTGGATAGTTTAAAATTCTAGCTAAAGGTAACTGGGGCCTCTTTATATTACCATTATCACAGAAATTGCGCCTTCTCTGTTCTATACTGCATCATTCTATCCTGCTCACTTTCGCTCTTATAGTGCTGATTGGTCAGTTGGAAATGTCCACGGAAACTTCCTATGTTTATATACTTTATTGGTCCTAACAATATTCAATTTATTCTGTACAAACACTTTCAATCGTGTAATTATTGCAAGCTAAATAATAGTTCAGCTATAACTCACAGTGACGCTTGAGATTTCCTGTGAATGCGTCGAATGTTTCATAAAGATCCAGCGGAAAAAGCTAAATGCATAATTTGTACATTACAGTGATCAGCGCAGTGTAACCAAATTCGTTCTGTCATTTTGTGTGTTAGGAATATTTTTGTTATTAATTCCCATAGCTCTTGCAGGCGCTGCAACGAATTCGCTAGCCTAGACCACGTGTTCTTGCGTAGCCCATCTTTACGGGACACGAATCAGTCTATTAGAGACAAGCGACTATTCGCTATCACGAGCCCCGGTGTCGGGGATCAACCTTGGGCTGTCCAGAGGGCCAACAATGTGGCGGTCAGGCTTGGCCTGACTGTCCCAAGGTGGCTGCGGCAGGCTGTGCGTTGAGTCGTGCACCTCAGGACTTGAAATAATGTTTATCATACATATGCCATTGGTTTATTTGTTGTCACGGTGGCCACAGGCTGCGGTGCTTTCGCAAGAAACTTGGCAAATTAGACAATCAACCTCTACCGGAAGAAAAAATTTTAAAATATCGATAGAATGAAGCATCACAGAAAAAGGCCACGCAAGCGCTACCGCGCTCTTTGCCATCGACAAGCCTTTCTGAACGGCTGTAGCCAGAACGCCCTTCCTGTGTGTCTTTTTGTTTTCTCCAGAGTGCACGTGCATTTTCTTTCTCTTTCTCTCTCAACACTCTCTCTTCTGCCTTTGTTTCCCCACCCCCTTTGCTGGGTAGTAAAACAGATGCCAATATCTGGTTTACCTCCCAGCCTTTCTTTTCTCTCTCTCTGTCTCGCATACATGCGTTCGTAAATTACAATAGTAAAGTAAGAATAACAGCAGTTTTAAATTTTGTATGACTGAATACAGAAAATTAGATTCTCTTTAATGTGGGTTCTTTCGCTACTTAGCAATCAGCAAAAGAATAGCAGCATTAGCAAGCAACATAAAGTAGTTTGGATACCCAACAATCCTGTCTGCCTAAAAAATACTAGCGTGGAAGTTTCAAACTATAATGTATATTGCGTTTCATACAGTTGTTTGCTGATACCCATTACATCAACACCGTTTGGACTGAACCCTTGGACAGTTTTATCAAGTAGCATAGAGACGCTAGTGCTACATACACATACATACGCAGAACATCGGACATACCTATCATAGGAAAATCTGCATACCTTAGCATTCTTTTGAAAATGACAATTCTCTTTAAATGGCAGTATGCAAGGTACCCACTGTCAGAAGGACCTTGACTGCTCAAAGAATTTGAAACTCAACACAATCAAACTCAACACACAAGTAGGATGGTGAATGGGCGATATAGTGTAAATACCTGTTTAAGCATCTCAAAATTTCCCAAACATACAATTCAAAAATTTTATTTTGAGTATTACATCAAGCTAAGAAATCCTGTTGATTATCCAATGCTTAAATTGAGTTCAACTGAATCATGGAACGCCTTTCGTCACATCAGTCGTGCATTGCCAAGAAAGAACTGTCTTCTGTTAAGCCACGCTTCACACAGTCTCTTACTATTTCAGACACGCAGTGAGACCTTTACACAACAACGTCCATGTTGCAACTCTACTCCGAAGGAGAGACATAACACGTCACTGAAGAAAGTACGCCAGTCTCTGTCTCGGGACTACTTCCAGGACCATCCAGTGAAGGACTTGGGGACAGAGTGGTACAGTGTCCCAGGACCTAGGCGTCAGATGTTTGGCAAATGGTCGAACTTGCGCGAAGATGACTGCTGCGACTGTTGACCCTGCAGTTGTTGCGAATGTCGGGAGTGCAAGTGGGAAGCCCGGATGTCTGGCGTCGGGTACCCACTTCCGGAGTGCCCAGGAAGGTGTGGAAACAAGGACTGGTGCTGAGTGCCGTTCTGCACAGAACAGCGTTTTTCAGAGAATAACTTGCACCAATGCCAATAAACAGAAAGTGGTCACCGGTATTGTTAAGGGCCAGCAAAAAAGAGCATTACGCTAATTAAATAGCAGCTATTCAGGTGAATGTTCAGTATAGGATATAAGCCCCATAAAAAAAAGATGGAGTGCAAGTCCAAGTAAAAATGTAAGATAGTCATGAGCTAGATGTACTGTGGCAGTCAACGGGGACAATTGTGGTCAAACGTCACTTGCAGGATGACATTAAATTTTTCGAGCATTCAATAACACAAAATTCTAGAAACATTTCCGAAAAATAAACAGTGAATCTAATAGTGGGTGCCAAGTCACCCAGCTGAATTGTTATGCAGCATTTTCTAACTGCACTGCAGAAAGCACCATGACAACATAACAAAGAAGGCAAATAAAATATTAAGCGAGCTTGGGAAACGGAGCTATTGTTTAAGGAAACTTCCCAACTTTGGTAATAAACTAGAATAGCACCACTTACCTAATACCCTAATTGCATCCGAAAACTAACACAACACTCTTCACAGAATGCTTTATCGACGAGTTTTTGTTGCGCGCCAAGGTGGACTTGAATATCATGGCCCAGTAATAGCCGCTAGTCTATTACATTCACAAATACTGAAGGAAAAATAGTACGGCTCGACATCTCGATAACTTATTGACAAAGAGTGTAAGACGAAATACAGCGAGATTATTATACCGGTCACTTCATACAGGAAGTTCCAATCACCATTGTTTATCTTTAACAAAGATCACTTTAACGAAGTTCAATATTCACAACATCTCCAGAATTAAAGCTAGATTATACAAACATCAAATGACTTTTGTGTGTAGCCTGTTTACGATTGCCAAGAATTGTTGGTAGTAGATGGTAGGATATAGGCAATCTTTATGTGTGAACTCAAATATGTGTCTTTCTGAAGAAAAAGCAATGAATTTTCTCAGGACTGCTTCACGAGACCGCTTGGTATGGCATAATAGGGCAAACGAAATTAGCTTAAAGCGTTATATCTTAAGCCGAACTTGCCATAAATGTTTCCTGACTTCAACTTGACCCCTATTTTGCAATGTCAGGCTCCTCTGACTGACAGATCATGTTGTCTGTCGAGAAAGAAAGGATGCACGTCATGGCGTTTCTCAAGCTTGTGCTAGATCTCAAAACAGGTGGCGGTGGTCGATCAACAAACCTTCAACTTTCCCTACACCAGCTATTAGGGATTCGAGTAGATGACGCGCGTGAACCAGTGTTGCTGAATGGGCACCTCCATGTCATTCAAATTCGATTCCGAGGAATGTCAACTTGCTGTATTTCTATTATTTTCAATTTTTCCGAATGACAAAAAACTTGGCCCGTTCCCACTGCTGAAATAGCCAGGCAGGTCACTTCCATTCCTACAACTACTCAACGTAGGCAAGGCGTATCTTGATAGCTTTATGGAGCTAAGAATGATCGTAACAACATGACATTGATGTCGTCAGATGCATTAGAACTGCAAAAGTTGGTGACCTATCTGGTGCAATAAAATTACACTACTAGCTCCCTTAGGGGAGCTATCTCGCTAGCTTCGGTATTTGCATGGTCAGCACAATTTTAAAAGGTTAGTAAATAGCTGGCAACGAATGTATTTACTTTTTGAAATGGAGATTAATACTTTTGCGTCATCTCTCTTTACTATAGCCAGCAGCTTGTAAAGCATGAAAATTTGGCCGTGTCAACCAAAAATGCTTTCTTAGTCGTTTTAACCAGGTAACTACTAAGCCATATATGCGAGCAGATCCCTTGTGAATAACACCGTAAATCTTGCAGAAATAGTGACACTCTTAAGAAAATTTAGAGCAATCCTAGCTACGTCGATTACTTTAAAATAAGAATTTCGTGCTAATCATGGTACACATATATAGAAGGGCAGATGATGATGTGTATGAAACGCTGATTTTCTCACAAAGTTATGTTGCTGACCAGTCAGTACAGAGTGTGGTATTCCAAAGTAGGAGCAAAAATAGCCTTCAAATGGCTGCTACAATATGCGATACTGGCTAAGTCTCGATATTCCTTGTGAGCGTTTGCATATGTGACATCGTCTGTGATTCGTTCATGCCTCTCAATAAATGTTGCTGTGATGCGTACTTGTCATAGTAATGACATGAAGTAATTAGTGGCTCCTAATTATTCCATGTGGACAATGACACTTTACTCGTTATCCTATACGTGTTTCTGTAGTTTAATTATCTTGATGTGGCAATGTACATTCACATAAAAACACCCGTTAACCGAAAACTGGGTATTGTATTAGTTCACAAGTCAGTTTTATTCACGAACTACTTAGCAAACTAGCAAGCTTTAATCAGCACTTCGCTATCTTCATTTACTAGAAGTTCAGTGCTTTTTGTGACAAGTAAACAAACGGTTCACATTTAGTTAGTGAATAAGCAGGCCTTTTCATAGTGAATATTTAAACGAATGACATGTTAATACTGTTTGAGCCTAAATGCGTTTATATTAAACACGACTACTTGGTGAAACCTTGCATAGTGATTCGAAAGGCACCGCCTTCGTTACGCGAGATCGCCTGCTTTTGCTGGCTACCCGAACCAATGCTCTCAAACGTCTAGTCTGCCTTTCTCCATACGGCTCATCTTGTACAATACTTCATCGCACACAGTTGATTGCTCAGCACACAGTTCCTTTACAAATCATTGTGTAAAAATGTGTGCTGCGCTGACCTACACACCTTTGCGACAGAGGTTCAGGCAAAAGCCCGCCTGTGTGTAGGCAGGGGGGCCAGCATTGCAAAAAAAAAGGGAGGGGGGTAATATGTGGCGAGACTGCACGCAAGCTGGCATACGAATTCTTGTAGTAAACACAAGCATCACCACTTGAAAACATCACCGCTTGAAGAAGAACTTTTTTGAATATGCATTCGGAGTCCCCAATGGCGGCATAAGTACTAACAAGGAAGAATGGGCAGGTAGCAGGCTGCTGAGGCGCCACCGAGGGGGAAAAAAGATCACAGGTTGTAATGTTGAAATGCCGTCACCATGTAGTTCCGCAAGACGGATACCGTGGCATTCAGCTGTGGTTACGCGAAGAATATAGAAAAGATTCGGAGCGACACAGTCATATAAGGACAGTATTATAGTACGTGTGTTGCTTATAAAAGTACCATGCTTGTAATCAGCCGAGCCTTTTTAAGTTGCTGCTTCAATGGTAGGTTTGACTGTCTCACTAATGTTTGAAGTTTAAAGAACAGCAAGCCACCGAAAACGTAATATATTACCGGAAAAATACGTTATTTCATTCTCCTTCCTTTCCTGTTTGCAAAAAATGCGCTTACTTCAATTCCCATTTCATTCCAGAGTGGAAACTGCGCAACTGCACAAGACTGGCGTGACTAAACTTATGAATGTTGCGCTGTGAAGCCGGGAAGGCATAGACCACGAGCGACCTTTATTAACGTAATAAACATAAAGAAAAAATATGAACTACTTTTCTGAAACACATGATCGCCAAATATTGCAGGAATTTAAGAAGTTTATAAAAGGGTAAACGCTGTGCTCAAGAATGCTAAACTTGTACTTTTTTGAACGCAAATTTGAAAGTGTGGCACGGAATAGCCGCAAAACATGGAATTCTATTGTGAACTAAGAAGCACTCCTTCATCAGGAGTACCAACGGTAATAGAAGTTGGCGGTGTAAAATACTCTGGTGACTGTTCAGAAAACTTGTTAAACGATTATTTTATCAACGTTGCTGCTACTGAACCCCTCCTACTGTACACCCAGAGCCAATTTTATGACGTACGTGCATAGTACTGTAAAAGACACGCTGTTCTTGTCTCTGACTTCAGAAGATGAAATAACATCAATTTTAGGTTCCCTTGAAAATAACTCAGCAGCAGGAGAATATGGAATAAAAGCATGACCAGTTAAGGCTGTGGCACATGACACACCTTTAATCCACATTTTCAATGAAATGATATCATCCGGTGTTTATCGTGATAGGCTAAAATTTGCTTGTGTCACTTTACTTCATAAAGGTGGCAAAAGTAATGTGTTGGGTTATTATAGACCAATATCTGCGCTGTCACTATTTTCTGAATTTGCTGAGAAAATACTGTGCCCACGATTTAAGAAATGCTCAATAGCAAATAATGTTATTGCACAGCAACACCTCAGATATCAAAAGGTTAAATCAACAAAAATGGCACTAGTGCGAATTAACGATAAAATCACCCAAAGCATTGAGAAAACAATATTTAGAGTAGGTGTATATCTAGATTTCCAGAAAGCCTTCGACTCCAGCAAACATGAAATTTTATTTCATAAACTTGAAGACTATGGCTTTAGAGGCAAAGCTCAAAATCTCAGTCGTAGTTATCGGCAGAATCGTTTACAGAACATTTTTCTCTTGGACGCTAAACTTGAAAAAGCTGTATTCAAGTATGGGGTGCCTTAAGGCTCTGTATTAGGCTCTCTACTATTTATATATATATGTAAATGACATCGTTACTATCCATTTTACTGGCGAGGTCTTCATGTACGCCGACGACACCAGTGTTTTCTTTTCTGGGGCTGATTTAAAGGAGCTAGAGGCAACGTCAAACTGGTTGGCTAAACTTAATCTTTGGGTATCTTCTAATCAATTAAAAATAAATGTTATAAAGGCAAAGTTCATGATTTATATCTTAAGAATAAATATATAGATTACAACATGAAACTGTATTATGGTGATACTTTGCTAGACCTTGTAGATGACCATTCATATTTAGGCGCTACATTTCAATGAAATACAAGCTGGTCCCAACACATGAACAATGTAAGAATGAAAGTAGCAAAGTCGATTGTCATGTTGAACCGCTTACGTAACTTCTTAACCACCAAGATAAAGAAGGAATCGTATTGAATTGTTATTGCTCGTTAGTATGGGTAACAGGAATTAAGATCGATAATGAGAAACTTTCCACATTACAGAGGAAGGCCGTGAGACTACTTCACTCGGGATATAATACAGACTTATCATAACTTATGTGAAAGTATCACACTCCACAATTCTGCTTTATTGACAAGATGAAACTGTCTATGTTGATATAATAAGAATATCGGTAGACTGGGACTCATTCAGCCGTCACTACCTAAACAGGAACAGCGGTCACGACCTACGTAGAACGTGCATGGTTCTTGAAAAAATGCATACTAATTATGGTATGTTTGCAGTTGATTACCAAGTCACGAAAATATGTAATGATCACCCTGAAGTAATTGAATTGGCACAATGGTGCGCAGTCTCTAACAATTTTAAATTAAAATTAACATTTAGGTTAAGTTGATATCTTGTGCTCGGTTGATTCGACTGTAGTCTCGTGCATGATGTGTATGTGTGTGCATGTGTGTATATATATATATATATATATATATATATATATGGGGGTGTACATGCATATATGTATTGTATATATCTTTAGCGCATTCGCATGATTTTCTTATTATTTTTTGCTTTTTAACCTTCTTGTGCACAAATGTGGCAAGTGTTTGAAATAGTACTACTTGTTGTTCTAGGCATCTTCTAGTGCAGAGTTCTCTTGTCAAGCTATGGCTTCTTTTGCGACTGTGAATAATTATTGTAACAACTTTTTTTATTGTATGTGGAGTGTTCTTTTCAATTGTGAATGTCTATTGAGGACTACCGCTGTTACGCCCAGTGCGAGCAGGACCTGGTCTGGAGGCAAACCACCTCCTTTTGCCCTGACCACAGTGTGTTGTCCACAGTCTGTTGACCACAATTGTGTTGTCCAAAAAATGAAATAAAAAGTAAATGAAAAAATAGGTCCTGCTTAGTGTGTGAAAATGTATATATTGTTACGAGACAGCTCAGTAATACATACCCTGGACTTTTCCCTTCGTATTCGAACATTGTCCTCGACATCCACCTCAGAGGCTTTGCAGTTGGCGAGGTACGGGTGCTTCAGCAGTTGCTCACATGTCCACCGTTTGGCAGGATCCTTGTCAAGGCATTTCTGCAAAGGCGACAATGCTTTTAATGTGAGCTTTGCAATATTTTCGTTTAGCAATCAGCAAACAGTTCTAACAACAAGCTAGGGCATTTCTAGAATATTCATATTTGCTATCACAGCATTGAATTCTCACAATACATTCCTAAGCCAGAATGCACAAAGTACTTCACTGACCGAAACAACCGTCAACATTCTGGCACTCCGTGCTATACTGATCCGTGCCACGTGATCAGACCTTTATATGATATTTACAATAACTGAAAAAAAAATCAACTGATTCCACACGACTTTGAATTGATGTTATGCGAATCGTGCACATGGAAGGTGAACGTGTTGTTTTCTTTTAGTGATCGAAACTTTACGAAGAGGTGGTAAACATATGTACAAATGCACGCACAGACCCACGATGAACAGCTACATATACGTTTTATATAACTAGTTGTTTACAGTCGCGTAATATATCCAAGAGCATTATGTATATTAGAAACACCAGAAGCGGTAAGCTGATATGGCACGTTGGTGTGCGCAAAGATGGTGGTCCTGGACACTGCTACATAAATCAACTTCAGCAATTGGTGATTAACTGCAACTGACGCGATGGCTGTATTATACTACTATGTATATAATATTTATGCTTCACGATTACTACGGTCTATTTGAAAAATGGTTCCAAGACCTGGCGTCTGGAATACTAGATCGCCAAGCAGATTTTTTTTAGTATTCCAATTCTCGCTGGTGCCCTGACATTTATTTCCTTTTGCATTCGACAGATCAACGCTGCCAGTCTCAGCTTTTTGTTTTAAAGCTCTTGCGTTGAGATTACCCATGTTTGTTCTCGCCATTCCTGGGTGTATATAAACTGTCAATGCCGTCATTTATCTTCGACAGACAGACAGACAGACAGACAGACAGACAGACAGACAGATAGATAGATAAATAGACGATAGATAGATAGATAGATAGATGTGCATTGTAACTGTAGCAAACAAAGAAATGCTTCGTTTTTTTTAAAATACAACTGATTATACGAAAAATGAAGAGGGATCCCGGTGACACCTACCAAGCGGATGTGCGGTGGAAGGACCGTACAAGCCGGTTTCATCCCATTGTGTTCTGTAACAACTTCCATACCTCTCTTTTCACTTTACTCTTTCCTAATTCTCTCTCTCCCCTTACCCCTTCCCTAGTGCAGGGTAGCCAATTAAATATTCGTCTTCCGGTTAACCTACCTGCATTTCCACATCGAATATCTCTCTGTCTTTAGCTAGGCGCCCTACTTGGTATTTCTAGAATAACAAACTTTTTGAACGCAAATAAATGACGCGAGACCAAGAAAGAACACACACCGCAAGCGCACCACAAGCGCCCGATTGCGATGCAGCATAAGACCGAGCCGAGCGCTTGTGATGTGTGTTTCTGTTTCTTGGTGCCGTGTCGTTATTTGTGCTCAAAGAAATTTACCATTGAGCATTACATGGACCGAACGCCGGTGTTGGTTGCTTTCCTATATACATGGACAAAATGCGCAGCATTGTGTCATGATGTGCGTGACATAAGTGGACGTTAGGTGCAATCACTACGCATATTTACGTGTATTACTTTAGCATCGGTGCAACAGCGCTCAGCATAATCTGGCTGAACACGTAAGATAAGACACAATGCACGAAACACGTATAATAACTATGCCAAGACGCTTTCAAATGTTTTCGCTCGTTTATTTATGGGGTGACGAGGGCTTCGAGAGACGCCGTAGTAAATGACTATAATTTGCATCACTCAAAATTCTTGAACTTGAAATCGCAATAATTGCACGCGCGCGCGCGTGAGCGTGCATGCGTGCGTGTGTTTGTGTGTGTGTGCGCACATTTTCGCCCCCTATATATGGAAATAACCGGACAGAAAATGCGTGTACCCACATATGTTGGCGTAACTGCGAGTATAGCTGAGAGCAGCCACGCAGGAATGATTATGATGGACTACGATAAAAAGGGAAGTGAATCGAAGTGTGAAGCGATGTCCTCATAAATGGTTAGTACCCTATCCGCGTCATGCAGATGCCATAATGAAGGAGTTGTGCATTACAGATGCCAGCTGGAATAGATGCACTAAAGATTTTTTTTATTGCTCAATAGTTCACAATAATGCGTGGGTATAACGTTGTGTCGCTGTCGCGCACACGGAAATGGGTCGCAATCTATTGCGTCTTTGGGCATCTATTGAAGTAGTGCGGTTTGTTCAAGCAAAGTGCGCCACTTATAAACCTGTCTGATGTAGTTATACTAAATCGATAAATATAACACGGAAAGAATCTCTGACCAGACAAAAAAAGTGTCAGGCTTTTAGGAGGGGGTGGAGGGAACCACTCAAGAAATTTGTACCGACTTGGGATCCAATGAAATAGTGTCGCCTCAGGTCCTCCAGTCTGCCAATGGGTGTGCCAATACGAATTCAAGGATATATGTAACTGAGTCTGTACTGACCGAGTTCATACTTTGGTGTAATGCATGAAGCCTGATCTTCCCCCTGGTGCAACTGGTGCGTCAGCTATAGTTCGTTTCTTTTAGAATTTCCATATGGCCGGGTACATGATTCAGTTTTACGTTAAAATTTTGCCTGTCAAGATAATGTGGTTGAGAAGCAGCCAAATTCTTTCGTCGTTACGAAAGAGATTTGGTAGTTTCAATAAAAGGGACGGACAGTCTGCGTTGGCATAGTTAGGGTATTTAAAAAACGAATTGGGAGTGCTTTTTCAAATGCAATTACTTCCGTGACGAATGCGCTTGAAGCGTTGCGTATCTGAAATTTCCTGACCGCTATACGTTTTAGATTTGGTCAAAGCAATATATGCTTGTCCCTCCGCGTATGACCGTATGAGCCGCCGGCGTATACGTGAAAGGCTTTGTTCTAAAAAAAGCGCTTCTTAAGATGGTGAAATTTTAGTGACACGAAATATTTTGTACCGGGGTGAGCAGCCCACGGACTGCATCTATAGAATGTCAGCCGGTTTGAAAGTTTTGGTGCCATAGTGAGTTATGTCCTGATGTGTGAATAGGGAAAATTTTATAGAGAGTCTGTCCAAGTAATGGAGGTGAGGTAGCAAGAACTTGCAGGGACGACGCACTTGTGGTGTATAAAAGCATTTGTCAAATTTATAACAGTTAGTTGAAAAAATAAACCTCGCGCCCTAATGATTTTCAATGGGAACATTGGCCAGCATACTGGAGATGCATATATGAGAGACACAGGATGACAAGGTGGCCGCAGGTCGTGGGTTCGTATCCCGGCTGCGGCGGCTGCATTTCCGATGGAGGCGGAAATGTTGTAGGCCCGTGTGCTAAGACTTGGGTGCTCGTTAAAGAACCCAGGTGGTCGAAATTTCCAGAGCCCTTCACTACGGTGTCTCTCATAATCATATGGTGGTTTTAGGATGTTAAACCTCACATATCAATCATCAAATGGATGACAAGGTGGTAGAAGTCGTCGAATGAGTGTATGTTTAGCGAAATGTATGATTTACCGAATGCGAGAAGGCGAGATGTGGACACGGCGGCTTTTACTTTTATGTGATGAATTTGAGCATCAAAATTGAAAGAGGGGTCCAGTAATACGCCAGGAATCTTCATTTTTTGTGCTTGAAGAAAACACCGTTCATGCGTGTGTATGAGCGGCGTTTCGATGCTCGTTGTTAAAGAATACAAAGAAGGACTTCGCTGCGCTTCTCTGCGCCGTAACATTTTCTTTTGGTGCCTACCTGGATACGAAAGTCAGGACATGCTCAGTATTTCCTTGTAAAATGAGTCTGAATCTATCTGTGATGACAATGATGGTGTTGTCCACGTACGCATGGATCTGTGGAAAGATTGAGTGCGCTGTGGATTACTATGTTCCACAGTAGCGGGCTGATAGAGAATCTCTGAAGGCTGCCTGTGGTTGGGGGAACTGTCTCCTGTGCGACATTGGTAGAAACACTAGGAGTTCGGTCTTACAAAAAGAATTTCAGGAGGAAGTACACGTTTTGTAGACACCTGTCTTTACATAGAAAGTATACAACCGCAGGGTGCCAAACGCTTTCAAATGCTCCTACAAAATCAAGAGATCTGAGCATGGTAGTTCTGATGCCTTTTTTTAACTGGTAATTTGGTTGGGAGTGCGTACATTGCTGACGTAAAACTTTTGGCATGCGCAAACTATATTGATCATTGTTGAGCAGCTGATTAGTGTGCAAGAATGATACAGACGAGCATTGACGAGTCTTTTTAACACCTTACCAAACAGAGAATTCATGGACATTGGTCTGCCTTTCGTAGGCGAATTGAAGGGATGACCTGAGTTCAATGTGAATATTACTTTTTATTTTTTCTTCAGACTTGCGTGAAATGTCCAATTCTTAAGGTGTTAGGAAATATAAGGAGGAAAATTTGGGTTGATCCCTCGTGTCCTGGAGCACAGTGGGAAATGCCCTGTTTCATCACACATTCTATCCTAGATTTGTATAAGGAGGTTCTGAAGAATTCCACGAATAAGAACTGGCCACATTGTCACTCATGATTGTGTGGTGCATGCTGTCCTGAGAATAGCTGTCTACTGCTACCAATGTATCCGGTAGGAGCCAGGCGGACTCCATTACAAAAGCTGTGCTGGTGCCATTAGGCAAATCTGGAAGAGAAAGAAAAGTTACTTGGTGGTGTTTTTGAAATGCTGCTTTGAAAGCACCTCCATAAAAACATTTATTAGTGAGAAAGCCATAAAAGTCTTTATCAAAGGATGATTTCGCTTTCCTAATTTCATCCTTGTAGGTGGAGAATGCGTCAGCGCACAATTTGCGGCACATGTCTCGCGAGAAGAATCCTCACTGGGGAGGAATTTTCAACTTGCGCATTGTACGACTCACATCCAACAGTATTTTTTTACTGAATTTTCAAGTTCACTTAGGGTAGCATATCTTATATTCATAGCCATTTACGCTGGCCATATACATATCTCTCTCCGTTC